CAACCCAGACGCATATCCCAACTACACTATCAGGGATAACAAACTTTACCGCTGCATCCATTCTCCCGATCGTCTAAACGATGACTTTATTTGGAAAGAAGTTCCACTACCTCAAGATAGACATGCAATTATTGAAGTTAACCATGGTTCCCCTTCAGAACTCCATCTTGGTAGCTTCAAGACATTCAAGAAAATATCTTTAAAATACTATTGGCCTGGTATGTTTAAGGCCAATTTAATCTCAACTTGTGAAACCTGCTTAACCTACACACACCCTAATCATTCTCCCTATGGTCTTATGGGTAAACCTAAACTTTGCTCCAGACCTTTTCAAACTATATCCTTAGATCTTATGGGTCCATTGCCTATGACTCGAAGACGAAATCAGTATATTCTAGTAATTAACTGCAATTTTACTAAATATACTATGATTTTTCCCCTTAAACGTGCTACTTCAGCTAATATTATTAATGTTTTGGAAAATTCAGTTTTTCTAGTTCATGGCATTCCCCAAACTATTATAATGGACAATGCTGTTCAATTTCAGTCGCGAGAATTCCACTCATTCTTAAATTCTTATAACGTTCCTTTTATTTTTCACACAGCTTTATATTGTCCTCAGGTTAATCCTACGGAGAAGTTTAATAGTACAATTATTACAGCTCTAGCATCGCTAGTAGGAGACGATCATAGATCCTGGGACAACCATCTTACTAAGATTCAGTACGCAATGAACAGCGCTACAAATGTAGCTACTGGCTTTACTCCAAACTTTTTAGTCTTTGGTAGGGAAACAATACCTTGTGGTTCCTTCTATACTCCAACTCAGAACCTCGAGGGGAGTTTTGGCGGGAAATTGACCGGCGGCGGTTTGCTGCTCCTGTATTATTGTTTAAATAATGGTTTGAAGTGAACTTTGATATGTAAAAGTGTTGCGATTTTGTGTATTAAGTGTCTACGCATGTGAACTATTAGTGGAAACAGTGAAACAAGTGCTCTGATGGTAATGGATTCTCAAGATAAGCTGTTTGTTTGCATAGGCACCTTTAGATACCATCGCCAACTATCAGCTGTCTGCTGGATCAAGTTGCCGCCAAAATCTCCCAAGAACTGCACAATGTGACGCATCAACATATTGTGAAGCAGTATACTATGAAGGAGTGGGGAAAATACAATAAACCGAATAAAAATACTTAAGACTTGGCCTAAAGGTCTAGATACCAGGCCATAAACTCCAAAAAAAAAAAAAAGAACCTCGAGGAATTGATATTTATGCCTCGTGATATTTACGCGTCTAATGCTGGTCTCCTCTCATCTATCTTTCACAAAGTTCAAACTAAACTTCACATAGCGCACGCTAAAAATAGCGCTCGCTATGATCTTCGCCGGGCTTTTAAAGAATTTAATGTGGGAGATACTGTTTGGCGTAAAAACCATGTTTTAAGCAATGCCGGCGCATACTTTAATGCTAAACTTGCCCCTAAGTTCATCAAGTGCACAGTGATAGCTAAACTGTCACCACTAGTCTATGTGCTTGAAGACCCTAATGGAGTTAGAGGCAAGTGGCACATCAAAGATGTAAAATCATAAATTTTCTTAACTTTTATTAACTGTTAATTTGTATATATGTATAAATATCACCATCATTCTCACCTTATTATTTTTATTTCTTTTAATTTGTTTGTTTGTTTGATGATCCAGTGTTCTTCAACACATCTTGCTTTAGGACCTCGAACTTTCGTTGGTTAATCGTCACTTTTTATTTTTATTTCAGACACATCTCGTTGGTGATGTTACTGATCTCTGGCTTTGAGCCCTACCGCTCTGGCCGTTCTTAATCTTTACTTAAGTCATAGCGACTAAAGCTTACTTGAGGTATTTCTTTATCTTTATCTTCACTTGGGAGCGGTTGACTACTCCCTTAATAATTTTTTTTTCCACGCAGGAGCGGATGACAACTCCTTAAATAAGCCTGAACGTCCTTTCGAAAACACACTTTTAGAGTGGTAGTCATTGAATGTGAACTCCACCCTTACCTGAATGGCAGATGATGAATGTAAGAGATGGTATATCTGATTTTGCCTGGTGATGTCTGTTTCTGTAAAGCTGTGTTTTTATGGTTTATTTTAGAATGTATATATCAAAATTTTTGCTGAGTCAAAAATTTTCCAGGGTCGGGGGGAAAATGTAGTGTTATGCTACTTACTTATCATTTTACATTATTTTAAATTCATTTTTCCGTTCTCTCTAGAAAGGTATAAAAGCCGAACAATCGGTGAAGAAATTCAGTCTCGCTTCAGTTCTCGAATTGGAAGCATCTCCTAAAGCCCCCGCACTGACCCGGGATCCTGCAAGCCTCTGTCCTGCCTGAAGCCACTAGACTCTACGAACCTCTGCTCTACCTGAAGTCGCCGGGTCCTACAAACCGTTCTCTGCCTGAAGTCGCCGGGTTCTACAAACCGTTGCTCTGCCTGAAGTCGCCGGGATCCTACAAGTCTCTGCTCTACCTGGAGTCGCCGGAACCTGCAAACCTCTGTTCCGCCTGAAGTCACCGGAACCTGCAAACCTTTGTCCCGCCTGCAGTCACCGGATCCTGCAGGCCTCTGTGCTGTCTGAAGTCGCTGAGGATCCTGCAAGCCCCTGTCTGGCCTGAAATCGCCGGATCCTGCAATCACCGCATTCACCTGAGGTCGTCGCCCACGCCTTCTCACCTACGCCGTGCGTGCTCATTCCAGGCGCTGAGAGCACACCTTGGATCTTCAGACTCAGCTTCGACACTAATCTCCTTTTTTTTATTACCTTTTTTAAATAATTTGTAAATCACATCATCCATCCTCATCTTCATACTCCATTTTTGTTATATAAAATTGTAAATATCTTTTGAATCTTAAATATATTATTTGTTTTTGTTGTATTTTTGTTGTTTTGTTGCTCTTAGGTTAGATTCTTTTTGTTCTTAATTGACGCTTCACGATAGCTTACTTCGTGAAAGCGTAGTCCTACCCCGGTCAAGCAGAGTCCATTCGTGCTACAACCATAATATAGCTGCAGCGTGGCTTTACCATTATATTATTTCTCTGTATGTCTATCTATATTATAAAATTTTATTCTACTTTGCCGGCTTTGCATTGTGCGCAGTTTTAAATTGATTTGTTTATAAGTTGATTAAACTTAACACTTTCACTGTCCGGTTTTCAGACACAATTGTAAGACAATAGCAATGACCTATATGTAGTGCATGGGACAGCAAAAGGGTTAACTATTAAGTTTATTCCTTAATAAATATGTAAGTAAATGGGAAGTTAACAGTAAAGACAGACCGAATCGTACCATTTTTTATTGTTGGATACTTCTAGATTACATCTTCGTCCCTGAAACTTCATCATCAACCAGTCAAAGCCAAGTCCATGATCACGCTGGGCAGGCGGATTGATCGCTGTACCAGACCTACCAGACCTTTGAAGTTGCTGCTGCATATCGTTTGTCTGGGTGGCGTAAATAAGATCGTGTACTGCCATCTATCGGGAACCATAAGAATTTTCTGGCATTTCCCTCAATGCTGTGTGTAGTTTGAGTGGAATTCACTAGGATACTCACTAAGTACCTACTGTTTGTAAGTTAATGTATACTAGTTGGGAATTACATTTTTGGGATGTATAATTATTTGTTTACACGGATAATAATAATAAAGATAAAATTAGAGACAATAGTAGATAAAGATCGTAAGTCATTATCATCATTACAGCCCTTCACAAGTCCACTGCTGAACATAGGCCTCCCCCAAAGAATGCCACAAAGCACGGTCCTGAGCCACCTGCATCCATCAACTTCCTGCATGTCTTACCAGGTCGTCACTCCATCTCGTGGGGGGACGCCCTACACTTCGCCTACCGGTACGAGGCTGGACTGGAAAGGATACGGTATCAACATCAATGGCGAATACATCACTCACCTTAGATTTGCCGACGATATAGTCCTTATGGCAGAATCGCTGGAGGACCTAAGCACTATGCTCAATGACCTCGATAGTGTTTCCCAACGGATAGGTCTTAAGATGAACATGGACAAAACAAAGATCATGTTCAATGTCCATGTCACACCTATGCCGGTAGTTGTTGGGAGCACTAAGCTCAAAGTTGTTGACGAGTATGTTTACCTGGGACAAATAGTCCGACTAGGTAAGTCCAACTTCGACCGAGAGGTCAATCGACTGATTCAACTCGGCTGGGCAGCGTTCGGGAAGCTACGACACATCTTCTCGTCAGACATACCTCAAAACCTGAAAACGAAATTGTACAACCAGTGCGTGTTGCCAGTGATGACTTACGGAACTGAGACCTAGTCCTTCACTGCTGGCCGTATGAGGAAGCTCAAGGTCGCTCAGCGAGCTATGGAGAGGGCTATGCTCGGAGTTTCTCTGCGTGATAAACTTAGGAATGAGGATATCCGCAGTAGAACCAGAGTAACCGACATAGCCCAACGGATTAGTAAGCTGAAGTGGCAGTGGGCCGGCCATATAGCTCGAAGAACCGACAACCGATGGGGAAGAAAGGTTCTCGAGTGGCAAAGATCGTAAGTATTTATAAATAAATAAATAGTCGTCTCTTACCCATGAGGTTACGGGGGTGGTGGATCATTCATTCATTTGGTGGATCATGACAAAGCGCTTCTTTTGAAGCTGGCTTCCCGAGAAATTGTGCAATTGGATCACCAGCTTCCTCGCAGATCGGAGCATCAAGGTCGCTGTAGACGGTGCATGCTCCGACTACAAGCCTATTAACGCTGGTGTTCCACAAGGTTGTGTGCTATCACCAACGCTGTTTCTTCTGCATATCAATGATATGTTGCAAACTGGTAACATTCATTGCTATGCGGACGACAGCACTGGTGATGCTCTATACACCGGCCGTGTCAATATTTCTCGGGAAAACGTCGCCGAGTACCGGAACAAACTTGTGTCTGAAGAAGAAGAGGTCTTTATTGAACAGTCTCGGATTGGGGGCGACTAAATCTAGTCCAGTTTAAAATCCTCAGAAGACACGTTTGCGCATTTACCGCTAAAAAGAACCCCTTTGTCGTATCTCCTTAGTTTCTAGACACTCCCATTCTTGCCTCAGCCAGTATCGGTATCCTCGGAGTCGACATATCGAGTGACGTGCAGTTTCGTGGTCACTTGGAAGAGAAGGCCAAATTGGCCTCTAAAAAGCTTAGCGTGCTCAGCAGAGCGGGACAGTATTTCATGCCGGCACACCGCCTGCAACTTTACAAGGCGCAGGTTCAGCCTCACATGGAATACTGTTCCCATCTCTGGGCAGGGGCTCCCCAGTGCCAGCTCCTTCCACTTGACCGTATCCAGCGCAGAGCGGCTCGAATCGTCGACGACCGAGCCCTTTCCGATCGGCTCGATTCATTGGCACTGCGAAGAGATGTTGCATCCCTTTGCATTTTCTTTCGCATCTACCATGAGGAGTGCTCGCAGGAATTGTTCGGATTAATCCCTGCCGCCAAATTTCACGAACGCACTTCGCGGCAGAACTCCAGATACCATCCACACCATCTGGATGATTGGCGGTCCACCACAGTGAGATTTAGAAGAAGTTTTCTTCCTCGCACGACTTCCTTGTGGAATCTATTACCATCAGCGATTTTTCCGGACCGATACGACTTAGGGACCTGTCTGAAGTCGAGGCTTTGCTGGAAAAAGTCTCGGATTGGGGGCGACTAAATCTAGTCCAGTTTAAAATCCTCAGAAGACACAAGTTTGCGCGTTTACCGCTAAAAAGAACCCCTTTGTCGTATCTCCTCAGTTTCAAGGCACTCCCCTTATTGCCTCAGCCAGTAATCGGAATCCTCGGCGTCGACATATCGAGTAACGTGCAGTTTCGTGGTCACTTGGAAGAGAAGACCAAATTGGCCTCTAAAAAGCTTGGCGTGCTCAGCAGAGCGGGACAGTATTTCATGCCGGCACAACGCTTGCAACTTTACTAGGCGCAGGTTCACCCTCACATGGTTCCCATCTCTGAGCCGGGGCACCCCAGTGCCAGCTCCTTCCACTTGACCGCATCCAGCGCAGAGCGAATCGTCGACGACCGAGTCCGTTCCGATCGGCTCGATTCATTGGCGCTGCGAAGAGATGTTGCATCCCTTTGCATTTTCTTTCGCATTTTCATACCCAGCCGCCAAATTTCACGAACGCACATCGCGGCAGATCTCCCGATACCATCCACACCATCTGGATGATTGGCGGTCCACCACTGTGCGATTTAGAAGATGTTTTCTTCCTCGCACAACTTCCTCGTGGAATCGATTACCATCAGCGATTTTTCCGGACTTAGGGTCCTTCAAGAAGAGCGTAAGGTCAACCGGGGATAATACGTCACAATACTTTGAATGGCATATTTATCTGATTATAACAAACATATTATATGCCCCTAAAAGCTATAACTTATGATACAAGTCAGAAAATTTTATGAAATTTTATATTTTAATACAGTTTCATGGCATTTCGAATGACATCTATAAGTCAATGATGTTTCTACGAAAGCTGGAATTTTTAGATGCAATAACCCCAAGTGGGGGAAATGCGTCTGGAACAAGTATTATGTGCTTGGAAGAGCTAATAGCAATTTAAATAGAGCTAATTTATAAAAGTAACATAGCTACTTATATATACACTATTATTTTGTAAACCAAATTCTGTGCTAAGTTTAGGATAATTAGTTGAAAAAAGATTAGTTGATTCGAGAATGGCTTAGATTCTTAAATTAAATTGAACCCGGCGGATAGCTAGTATACTAAAAGAAGGTATACAACAGAGAATTTACAAAGTTTTTGAAACAAATTTCCACCAAATAATTTCAAAACTTACATATTATCTAATAACTGTATGGAAAAACACGAATTAAAAACCTTGAAAAATTTCAATTTCTAATGCAGAAAAATGAACCGAAGCAAAATTTTCGTTCGTTTATGGCTTTTTAATATAATTAATCAAGTTCCGTTACAAAGCTTATGTTGGTAACGGGGCAGATACAAAATAGAGGAATAACTATAGGAAAAATATTATGGTCAAATGATTATTGTTTAAAATAACAATACCTATTACAATCTAAATAAATTTCCACCAGATAATTTTAAAAGAACAAATTAAATAAAAATTGTTTGGAAATACAACCTGCAAGACATTTTTAAAAGAAATGGTTGACACCATAATTTACTGACATCATAATTTAAATTTTTTAAATTATGATGTCAGTAAATTTTTAAAACAAAATTACACTTTAAGGTGGCACAAGTCGCGGGCTCGAACTCGCTGGTGGGCGCGGCCAAAAAGCACGCTGTCTCACCTGGCATCGTGCCCGACAGAGATAGTATCAGTGATGAGCATATCGACACTAGTATTCACGCATGTCTTGTTCGTACGGTGTTCCGAACCGTTAGAATAAAAACGAAGTTACACGAACACGATGCAACATCTATACTAATATAATAAAGCAGAAGAGGGTTTTTGTTTGTTTAAACGTGCTAATCTCTGGAACTACCAGTCCGATTTGAAAAATTCTTTTTTTGGATATTATAGCCAGATTCATGTTGAATAGTATAGGCTATACAGCATTAGGCTATATATCTCAGCTAGCCTATATTTGTTAAGGAAGTCAGAAGAAAAAGCGCTGTTATGGTTCGGGATACGTAAATACAATGTTCTAGAAAAATATAGATCTTTACTCCGTCTAAAAAAAGTCCGCGATACCATATGTCTATTTCTTATATATAAGCCACAATTAGGCATTTTGTGACAAAAAAAATGAAAAATTAATTATTAGGCACCTTACGAACCAAAGTTACTTCATTATCAAGACAATTTTATGAAGATAAACTTCGTTCTTTATACCATGTTTATATAGTACATAGTTTAAGAGATAATGTAAAATTAAAATAATTCAATACCTACTTGGCTTGACGCGCAAACAACGCATAACCCCTAGCCCGGTGCGAACTGAGAAGCCAGTATTGAAAGCTTCTATGAGCGAGGTTAGGTTAGCCGTTAGTTCAATCGTTATCTATATATACACAAATAAATAAAATTGAAGTGTCTGTTTGTAATGTCAAAATAACAGATTTTTACTAATTGCGTATGAAACTGTATACGGTACTTATAACATTAACACAATTTTTAACATTTTTGTATGTCTGTCAGTCTGTTTGTTGCGGTTAATTTCCAAAACGGCTGGACCGACTTGGGCGGGACTTTCACTAGTAGATAGCTCATGTTATAAGAAGTAACTTAGCCTGCTTAAATTTTAGAAAAATTATTAGGTGTCTTTGCAACAATATTAACGCCCTAAACTAAACGCGGACGAAGTCGCGGGGTACAGCTAGTAGCTAAAATAAATTCAAAATTAATTGAGTACTTTTATCTATCTCCCGGGTGAGCGTAGCAATGATTAGTTACATCTTTATTTCTGAACTCTTTCATTTCACGTTGCTATGGTATTTTGAAAGTTTAAATTTAATTAATTAATAAGTATAAGAGGTTGATAGCAAATTTATCAAGAATCATTTCTTGCCTACACACTTTTCATGAATCGTGTACGTTTTTCTTTAAAACTGGAAAAAACCGCGCATAATATGCCGACAGATAAAATAAAAGTACTCCATTAATCATGACAACTTTTCCATACATTACAATCAAATAAAATATTTGATTGCAATTATAAAATGCTTGAACTAGGTCACAGTAATTTACTGTGACTAGGTGTCATGTCATGCCACGCATCTCGGACACGTGAATCCACGAAATTATTAGGTATACGTCTGTGGCTCTATATACCTAATATAGATTGCTTATTTTATTATGTTTAGTTTTCCCCGAGTGGTCATGCAGCAATCACTCAAGAGTTCGGCTTCGAACGTGTGTAACTCGATAATTATCCCACGGCAACGAAATACCTGAATAAACGGTATCATATATGATATTTGGCAGCTCCGTGGCGCAGTGGCTTCGCAATGAATTGTTGTACTGGGAGCCGCGGGTTCGAATCAATCGAACAAGTATTTGTATGGTCTACAAATAATTGTTCCGGGTCTGGATGTTTGTAAACTGCCTCCACGATACAGGAGAAAATCCTAGTGTGGGGTAACGTTTTTTTGAAAAAAAAATTCCGGACTATAGCCTATCTCTGAGCAAAATATCATCCAGATCCCTTCAGCCGTTCTGGCGTGATTGAGTAACATACATCCATTCATCCGTCCATCCAAATATCCAAACTTTCACATTTATAATATTTAGATAATAATCGTAATTGGTCTGCCTACCTATAAATTGTTTTCAAAAATACTTACTTACCTGGCTTCTTATTTTTTTATATATACTCAATATCACTAAACGTAAACACAGGTTTTTATCAAGACAAGTGACCCATCAAGATTGTTTTCTTAGTACCGACGTACCTACCTAAAGTTTACAATTTTGTGGCCACGACGCGGCGAGGTTTTGTGACATTTTGTTGTATTGTTGATTGTAGGTATCTAGGTAATAACAGTAGGTACCTATGAAAATCCCACATAATATACTTTGTTTATCCGCCGCAAAAGTCGTCTAATAAATAATTAAACTGTTTTGTAATTCTTTATTTATTTATAACACTTGCATTGAGAGCCGTGGTAGCTCAGATGGTTAGCGCTCGCTGTAAGTATCACATTACGCGAGCAACCCGGGATCGATCCCCGTCGGCACCAATGAAAATGTTGCAATTTTATATAGTAATCGAATATAGACTTTACTTTTTTTACTTTTATAATTATATTATATTACAGACGAAAATTTTAAAATATTGTCTGTCGTCCAAAACGCATCATCTCTTTCAATTATATCAATTTCCATGCCGTCTTTTGTCTTTGGCGTCCAAATTACAAAATAGCAAAACTTTTCGTTTCGAATAAAACTCGAATACTTATAAGCGCGCGTCACCGCCTGTGCATGTGTGTGTAAGCATCGTCCTCCCGCACCGCACCGGGGGAGACATTATTCAGTGAGATGCACGATAATTCATAGTAACATGCGCGCGTAAAAAAATACGAAAAGGCCTTTGGAAGAAGGGGTTTTATGAAAAAACCACTGCATTAATCAATTACAAATAAAATTTATTGAGTTCTTCGATAATTTACCTGTGTCGGTACCGACTTTGTTTTGGAAATTTTACACTTCTTTTATTACTTATTTACGCCCAAAGTTGTGTTAAAATTGGCAATAAAAACGAATCTTTGGTAGCTCGTAACTTTTTAATAACATTTTATTTTACTATTCTGTTTCCGTACAGACAAATTTAATAATGAGACAAAACGATATCATGTTTAATTTTGGATGTACACTGTCAAACAGCAGAGTAAAACCCCTCCGAAATTTCTATGGAAATAATGTCGACTAGTGTCACCTTAAGTGTCTAAAACTTTGGTTGGTGTCCTGTTTTAATTTTAAAGTTTTAATTGCTTACAACGGCAGAACAACAAAGAAAGAATGCTCAACATCTTGGACACACTAACGTTGCACATTTCTCGCTCTCTCTCTGTGCGTGCGCGCGCGCCTGCTTGTATGCGCGCATGTGTGTTTGTGTGTTTATCGTGTTTGTTAAGTTAAGGTAGTTATTAAACAAAAATAAAATATTTAAAAAAGTTTAATTTCAAGACAACTCTATAAGTTCCGTATCGTACGCACAAGAGTACAAATTAAAGAAATCTAACAATACTTTGAATCATATAATTTTGAGGAAGCAGCCTTAGAAATATAACATGAAATTATGTAACTAATTTCTTAACAATAATAATATATAAAATCTAAACTCTCATATTTCTCTAATTACTTAGACAACATTACGTATACCTTGAAATGTATTTTCATTTGTAAGTGTCGAGGAGTCTCTCGTTTTAACGAGTCATCAAGGTTCTAATCTTATTATGGAGACAAATCAGCAGAAAACAAAGATCCTAACTAAAAGAAAAGTTGAGATTTTATAGAATCGCTAAAGTAATAAAACTAAAATAAGATTTTACAAAATCAATCCGATGAAATCTATATAACTATTGAGATTTGGATGCCTTTTTAATGTGTGATGATTTTCTTTACTTTTAACACTTAAGAATTTTCCGCAACTATACGATATACAACAATCAAGTGTCCTTTCTTATTCTTATAGGCATTTCTGAGGTATCATTGTAATAGAAGACTAGTATTTAATCCATTTCAAACATCTTACGAAATTAAAAACAAAGCTTTGGTTAGTTTTATTAAATTACTATTAACGATTTAAAAACAAAAAAATAAACAAAAATTCTAATAAAAATTATAAAAAAAAAAGTCCACCGAAAAGTAAAGCTCATTGATTACGTTTCTTTTTTTTTTTGCAAATTTTAATTTTAGTTTTTGATTATTTTTCTATAACCATTAACATCGTTCATCATCAGTAGACAAGTAAAACTCTTGGGTTTATAATTAACTAGCTGGTCCGACAGACGTTATTTTGCCCTTTCTGGTTGATGGCCCGATGAGTTTATTTTCATATACACACTTTCCTATAGATTTTTTATACGTATAGCTAAATCCAGGGTCGGGAAGGGACGCCCTAGACGAAGGTTTATCGACCAAATCGGCGATACATTAAAAATGGGCCAGATTATGAGTACCCTTCACCAATCAACGTGTATGCGTAGATATATGGATGTAAAGGAGGCGAGAGGTGTGTCAGGATCGTGCCAAATGGAAGTCCGTAGTCTCTGCCTACCCCTCTGGGAGACAGGCGTGAGTGTTTGTATTGTATTGTATTGACTAATAGTAACATCAGCAGCCATAATGACAATAAACTAAAAAATTAGAATTTCATCTCTTTTCTTTTACTCTTCCGTAAACGGATAAAATTTGCCTATATGTTATACACGGTCATTTACTGTCTACATACAAAATGACATGGAAATGTGTACAGTACTTTCTGCGTGAATCGTGAACATACAATTTTTCTACAGATTTATTATATGTATAGATTTAAATTTTAAATAATAATAGTTACTATTCCAATTTATCCGTCATATATTTAAGAAACTATCTGTCATTGGTGTAAAGGCCATTAATAATTACAAATGTGACATAATTTAAGAGTTTTAATTGTTTGTCGAAGATTTGTTGAACTGAAATAAAATCCAGATGTCCAAAAGTGTCAAACTAATTATAATTATTAATACAATTTCTTCCACTGTTTTGAGCTACAATACACTGACTTTTTGAGTGCTTCAATACATATCAGCTAAATAATGTATTCAAAAAATACAATGCCAGTATTGTCAACAGACACATTATATTATGTAGATCTATTTGACTATTATTATAAGCATATTGCAGTAAGCATATATTAAAAGGAACGTAGCCATCTTTAATAATAATAGTAACGAACTCAAAAATTGATAATTGTAATATGAAATATTATGATGAAAAGGTCTTTTATATTTCGGTAATGCTAATATTTCATAGACATTGAATTCTCTGCAATAATAACAATCACAAGTTTATCTACATACACTTTCCACCCTATATTTCCACCATTAACAAAAACCTCAAACTTGTATTAGAATCTTAAGCAATATTTTGGCTTTATATTCATATTTTCCTGCTTTCTATTAATTCCCATTGTGACCTGCAAAATAACAAGAAAGATAAATGAATAGACAGGCATAAATTTGAAAAATGAAGGGAGAAATATTGAGCGGAATTCTGTGCCCAGCATTGGAACATATACAAACTTTTCATCTATGATAGCCTATATATTATATCAGCACTAGACTTATAGGCTGTGTACGGAGAAGCATCTCTAATAGATTGCCTCATATGAGGGATTTTGCCATAGTTGCCACGCTTGGCAGGCGGTTTGGCAACCGCAGTGTTTCTAATGATGAGTTGTTTTTAGGTAGATGCATCTATTGTTTCAGTTTCCCTCTGTCGCCCCTTACAACACCCACGGAACGATATGGGCTAGTGGATATTCTTACACTGCCACTACACGGTAATTTTTTTTTAAATAGAAATAAATGCTAGCAATTAAGAATTAACATTACTAATATTCCATTTAACCACTCCTGGTAAGCTTAAAATGTTTGTGTTAGGAGTCATTCACAACAGTAGTCGAATGGCGAATTTGAACACACAACCTTTTGAGTTCGCAGTCCGCACCCCGCCATTAGGTTACTGTAGCTTGTAAGAGCCTATAACCAATTTTCAAGTGAATATCACATGCTAATGGACAGAAAAACACTGCAGTATAATATGGCAACAGCACAATGGACTGACTCTACCGTAGAAGGACCCAAACCCCTTCAAGAATACCAGCGTAAAATAACAGCTTAATGCTGCTATTTTGTTCATATTGTCAAAAGAGGCATTCTATCTTAGATCTCAGTGGAGACAGCACATCTGCATTTTGATTTTTTATCAAAGATAAATGTAAGTGCCTATGGGCATATAGTAAAGTTGTACAGCCTGTATACCAGCAAGTAGGAGGTATACAGACTGTAAAATATACAGCCCTATAGGGCTCGTATATTTTCTGAGAGGGTTAGGCCAACTGGATTCACACCAGAGTAGCACAAACACATTGCTGGTTATATTATGCCACTGCATTACCATATAAACTGTATTAAACATATTTATGTATATAATTTTATATCTCCTGTGGAATATGGTCATTAATGAACTCATCAGCAAATTAAATACCAATCACTCCCCATCAGAATACTGACCGACAGTAGGGCGGTACTACAAGCTCTGAGTTGCAATGTGGTGAACTCCGGACTAATATATGAATGTCATCAACGATTAAATGAGGTATGTAAAAACAACAATGTGACTCTGCAATGAATAAATGGACACAGTGGAGCCAGAGGCAACGATGCAGCAGACAAACTGGCCAGAAGAGGATCGGCTCTGGTCACTATAGGACCGAAACCAATCACCACATTGGTAACATTCATTCACTGGTACATAGACACTTCACTAATCAACACACTCAACTTTGGAAAAATCTAGTAGACTGTAGACAAGCTAGGGAGGCCCCTGCCAGAAATAAACAGTTTTTTAACCGAGGTTTAAGCCGCAGATCAGGATAGTAACAAGTGCTATCACAGGACACGGAAACTTTAACAAACATTTATTTACCATAGGTGTTACAGACAGTCCCTTGTGCAGGGCATGTACGGGGAGGAAGAAACGGCGGCCCACGTGTTGCTGACATGTCCGGAAGTCGCTGCATACAGGGCTAACCATCTCGGCACGCCTGGATCACTCCCCGAAGTTACTTGCAACATCAAAGGACTGTTGAACTTCTTTGGGGAGATTTCATGGCTCGAATAAATACATTATTCCTGCCCACACACAAAATACGCGCTTAGACGTGGTGTTGCGGAAAACAGCCCGTTTATTCAATTCAACCCTCACTAGACAATTTTTGCTTAATAAATATTTTAAGCCTTTTGATAGATAAGGTCTGCATATTTTCTGGGACTTTGTTGTAAAAGCGTCTATATGGCCCCATAAAAGAATTAATGACTCGAGTGGAGTAACTGGCATAACTAACTTGTTCTTGTTCCTAGTATTTACAAAATGTACATCACTATTTTTAATAAAAGTATTTTTGTTTTTGTGCACATACATTAAATTAATAATATATTGAGAGGCCGAAGTTAAAATATTTTTTTTAATTTTTCTCTACAGGATTCATTCGGACTTGGGTTATAAATTGCTTGTATGGCTCTCTTTTGCAAAACAAAGATAGTTTCAATGTCAGTCGCATTACCCCATCCCAAGATTCCATATGAAATTATGCTATAGTAATAACTCAAATAAACCAATCTAGCTGTTTCAACACACATTAGGCCTCTAATATTTATTATTTCAAATTTTTTTTAAATATGATCCCATAAGGTTTTCTTATTTTCTTGTTTAGGTACAGAACCCTAAAAATATCCTAATTTCAATAAAGAAGTGATTACGGAATCTGCTTTAGATTCCGTAATCATTAAAATTAAATCCAAACACAAGCTACCACGTAAGTCTTCCGAATGAGATCAATCTCTATAGATCAGACTAAAATGAATAATTAAAACCTAAAAAAGCCTGGATTAACTATCACATCTGGATGTCAAGTACTACTAGGGCATTTAAAATATCAGATATTGACAGTAGTTTAAAAAACAAACTGGATAGAATCAGAAAAATTTGCTTAAATCAATGTGTGGTATAAGAAATCATTAAAAAGGGACTTCAGTCACAAATAAACTATACTCGTTCTTTATACAAGCAATCCACTGCTGAATGTTAGCTGGCCGTAATCGCTTAGCTTGGCAAGTTGATTTTGCAATCGTAGATTCAGACGACTTTTTATCTACTATTTATTGCAATACTTTTTATTGCATTATTGCTACTATATGGGTGTTATACCAACATTTATTGAATCAACCATTTTCCTGATGTGGGTCACTCACATGCATGTATGTTAACTTGCACGTAAGCTTGTATGACGTACGTACATAGTATGTGCTACGTATGTACTAAATACGAGTAGCATCGATTTTTTACAGACATCAAAGCACACTAACATCATTCACTTTGCCAGCTTTAATCTTAGATGTTATTACATAGGCAACCCTAACTTGGTATACGAGTTTATTAAGCTTCTGCAAGTAAATGATTTTTTTATGGAACAATACCATTCCTCACAGAATATTTAACAAAATTTACCTATAAAATAGGAGCGCAGGAAATGAAGACGGAAAGATAAAATGAAAGGACCTAAGTAAACAAAATGTCGTAAACAAGCATATACATTTGTAAATTCGTGTGGAATATCATTTTTTCTTATTTATTTTCACATAGACACATCTTCACATCTTTGCACATAGAGTAACTAGCATAAGTTTGCGATATCCACCACATGGAGAAATAACCAATCATTTTATTATGTTATACCGCATAAATTATTATATTGTAGATTGACTCCTATCATAATTCAAAAGTTAAACGATTCCCTTGAGATTACCACAAAGCATAGTGCCGAGCCATATGCATCTATCAACACTCTACACTAGAATTTATAACTAAATAATACTCTTACCATAATTAGAGCTTCCCGATTTCCTCTTCGAATACTCTTTTGCCACCTTTTAATATCTTCTCAGAATCATTATTATACTTTTTCATATATTCTTCCAGTCTTATTAACCACTGGGCCCAATGCTCTCTTAGCTTATCCGTTGATAAGTAATAGACATCAGCCTTAGACCCATCTGTGTATGCTATTACTAGTAAGGCATCCTTTACATTTAAATGTTTGTAGTTCAGATCGTTACATACAGCCCCAAAGTATGCCGCCAACTGGACAGGGTTGTCATATGTTAGTGCTATTGATTTCCGTGGCTTATCTGATTTCTTCCATTCTATTAATGTTGGCTTATCTCTGTAACATATACAAGTGGTAAAATTAAAAATTTTGTACAACAGAGTTCAATATAAATTATTTAAGGATAACTCAAAAACTACTGGTCAGACCTAGATCAAATATATAAGGGACCACACGAAAAGCACCAGCTTTCAAAAAATCGTTTCAGGTGTCTTCAAGTCATCGGTGAACATACATGAAAAGAAAAAAAGTCCGACTAATTGAGAACCTCCTCCCTTTTCTCAACACGGTTGAGAAAAACAATTCTTTATATTTAATATAAAGAATTGAACAACCATAATATGTATTTTACTCTGGGTACCCACCATCCTCTTTACTTTTGCTAGTTTAAATGGTAAGAGAATCAGTATAGCTCAAGCCTATGAGGCATTCCATCTCTGTACTTAATATGCCAAAATAACTGTAGCTGGCTAATACCTGTATCATGAAACAAATTGTAAACCTTTTTGTAACTCTAGTCATAATAATCCTATGCTTGTTATTTTTTAATTCATTCATTTTTATTTCAATCATATATGTCAATCATACAAAAGTATTGACGACAAATGGTTAGTTCCTCCTTAAAGATAATCTATCAACCCCACTTCACAGATGTCGAAATTTTTATGAATTGTTAACAAGGGGGTTTTGGCGAGAACTTAACCGGCTGTGGATGACTGTTCCTGTATTATTGTTTAAATAATGGTTTGACGTAGATTTTGATACGTAAAAGTGGTGCGATTTAATGTATTAAATATGAGCGCATATGAACTTAGTGGATACGATGTAACAAGCGCACCGATGGTAAGGTGACCATCAAGATAATGTGTCTGCTTAGATGACTTGAAATATATCGTCATTGACTGCATGCTAGCTCAAGTTGTCGTCAAAATCTACCAAAAACTACAATGTGACGCATCAACAAAAGGATAAATTCTTAATATACTTAATACTGCAAAAAGTAAAAGTACAACAGTTCGAATCCATTACTGAAGGACAAATATTGTAAGCAAAAATAGTTCAGGTATAATTAAAACAGTAATTTACTTAAGCTATTTTGCACAAAACACCAACTGAAATCTACATCTCTGAAAAAATATAGTAGCCCATTAATTCTTACCACCCTATTCAATCAAACAACAGTGGAAGTACTGATATACATAAATATTAAATAAGACCTACAATTCATCGACTGCTTTGGTAAATCCTTTCCCGTTCTTGCTATACTGTCTAAAACTAATAAAGCATCTAATAGGACGACAGTCTCGTTGGTCTATTCGTCGAAAGTTCTATTGCTGATCATGCAATCCAGGTTTCGAAACCCGGGCTAGACCTAAAACCAGTTATGCGAGTTTTCTATCAAGAAATTTTCAGTAGTAGTCTGGAGTCAGGAAGTCGACAGTGTTTCAGTAGACTAGTCTCCTTGACCGAAAATTGGTCTTGAGAACATTGCCTTTAACTTAGTAAGAGGGTGGGGACCAACCCTGGCAGATGCTTAAGCAGAAAATAAGTCCCTATCATCTAGAGGTGAATGATAGAAAACAACCCTGTAGTTAAAGTCAATCTCATTCAAATCTATAACATTTGGTATTTTCCAAGATAATCAATAAGCACATTTCATACAGTGGATGTTGCAAAGACGACCATAGAAAATGCAGTCTTGCCGTCACTGAAAGATAGCATCAAGCCATTTTTTGATAATACATTTAAAATATCCGGTTAAGTGATGAGGAGCTGTGAGACATCTGGTATGGTCATAGGTATGCAAGGGAATTTTTTTATTTAAATCTTTTCTTTAAAGAATATGGGTTACAAACGAGCACACAGTCCACCTGGTGGTAAGTGGATGCTTTGGCCATAGACATCTATATTTATCCTTGGTCATATTCAAAATGCAGATGCATTGTCACCCATGAGATCCAAGATGGAATGTCTCGTTCCCAGTAAACGGAGCCTCCGTTTCTCTACACTCACCATATAATACACAGCAGCAATAAGCTGCTATTTGACGCTGGTAATATGTGTGGTCCTTCCTCGATCAAGCCGATCTATTCATGCTATAACCATGATATAGCTGTAGCATGGCTCTACTACATATGCCGCTAACCAAGAATAGTGACTAGGACAAATCATTCTTACAATGTGAGAGACCCATGTTCAGTAGTGGGCTTTTAAGAGCTGAGGAATATAAATCGATAAACAATACTCACTCATAATCTGCAATAGCATCAATTATTCCCCTATATTTCAAAACGGGATGTACAACATTAGACTCTATGGCCTTGGGTGAAGATATCCTTTTTAAAACATCGGCAACTGACACCCACACTCCTTCCACTTCTTTTTCGATGCGTAACTGAGTTTGGGGCTGTGTAAAATAGTTCTTCAATGTACTATGAAACTTTGTCCCCACTGCCATTTGTGCTGTAAATTAAAAAAAAAATTGTTAGATAATTAAAATTAGATTTACATCATTTTAGAAAATACAAATGTTAATATATTTTACATTATTAGAGTGAAAATGAACAGTGTCTTACAGTAAATTGGCATGTTTAAAAACTGAAAATAGACCTATAGAATGTTTGTGTAATAAACATTTCCAATTTTATTTGTTGTTTATGTTAAAAATTAAAAAATTAATAATATTTATACATCAAAAAAATGAACAGTACAGAGTCCTTAGATGTGAGTCATAATGTAAACAACAATTATTATATATACCTGTACATAAATAGCTTCTTTGTGTATGACATTAAAAACAACTATAAATATCTTAAAGTAAACATTATTGATCAACAACAATGATATTACATAATGCTTTACAGAAACATTTTGAATCTTAATTGTTTTGATACATCTATTAATTCATTTATTTATATGGGTGTCCTACAATGTGACCAAAGGGCAATTAAAACGAGATGGGTAGCATTATCTTCTTGATATCAACTGAAAATTATAAAAAACTGAAATTGCCAACCCGCCCGACATAAATGGCAACTATGACAAAATACCCTATGAGGCAATCTATGGGGCAGTCCTATGTACAGCAGTGGATTTCTTTAGGCTGCAATGGATGTATGGATGGATCTATGGGTTTATATGGCAAAGTATGTTGAATACAATAAGTAACACATTGATAGCAAATAATGGTCCTCCTGGGAAATTTTAGAATTTTTCTTTCATTCTGTATGAAAGATATAATAATGCTTAGTACAAGTTAATATTTATATGAGAGAATTTATTGCAATCATAGTAATTACTCAAATGCTACACAATTTGAATATGTTAAGTTTCATAGTGTCACAGTCACATAAAGTGATAGAGACAGCACAAGACTTAACGGCATCTTAAGCATTGTAACATTTGAGCAACATTTAAATATTTGGGCATAAGTCTGTAATCTGCAATTAGAGTTCCAAGTGCACTTAAGATATCAGTCCCATGATTTGTGTTAAGTTTGAGGCCAGAATATTTGTTCTTACATAGTAGCTTCTTGATGTTGAGTTCTAGATGATATAAAACAAAAAATTACTAAGTTCCTGATTTCATACATATCAGAAACATAGTAATTTGTGCTATGGTTTAACCAACCCACTTAAAATCAATTCAATCATCAAATGAATGAAATGAATACATACATGTTGCATGTACATTCCATGCATATTATAACAAAACCATTGTATGAAAAAAGGGTAGAAATAATAAGATAAAGAGTAAATTATTTTTAAAAAGTTTAAAAAAATTGTACTATCAGTCACATATTATGTATTAAATAAATTATCTAATCAAGTTTGTTAACCTTATTCGAAAGGTTAAGGTTAAACAACAATACTTTTATTTTACTGTTACCTTTTCATAATCAACATATTTGTTGTATGATAGCAATAAAGAGTTTTCACCAACCCATTTAGTTTCATGGGGATAACTGACCTAGCTATATTTGACATGATTGCAAAATAAGCATAATATATTGTCTTAAAATTATTACAATGACGTATTGTAGTTTAATTTTTTATATAATAAGGGTGACAAACGATCACACAGCCCACCAGAAGGTAAGTGGATGCTGTGACCCATAAACATCTTCATTATCCTCAATTTGAAAAGAATATGAAAGAATATTTCAATATGAAAGAATGTTTCAATATGAAATAAGCAGTGCCGTTGTACAAAATGTTTTATTGTAACATTACTATATGTGTACATAAATTGTTAAATAAATAATAAATAAATATCAAAATGCAGACCCATTGTCACCTTTGAGAATTAGATGGAATGCCTCCTATCCAGTAAAAAGGGTCTCCGGTTTTCTAAGCTCACCATATGAAACACAGCAGCATTAAGCTGATACTTTATGCTGGTATTTTGTTAGAGCATGGTCCTACCCCAGTCGAGCTGACCCAATCATGCTACAATCATAATATAGCTGCAACATGGCTCTACCACATATACAATACATAGGCTGCACTAAAAGTATCGGGAATGGAATATTTCCACTGTTCCTGTCTTTTCAAAATGTTTTTAATTGAAAAGTCCTTGGTTTTTTTAAATTGAATAGCAGTTTATAGAAAAGGTCTTAGTTTTTTAATGAAAGTTACCGCTATACGAGGGCTGCACTAAAAGTATCGGGAATCGAATATTTCCGCTGTTCCTGTCATATTAATTTTTTTTTAATTGAAAAGTCCTTGGTTTTAAAAATGGAATACCATTTATTTATTTAAAAAAAGATTCTCGGTCTTGTCACAAGATTTTGTCAAACTTGTTTAGTCGTTGAGAAAATGGAATTGACTCGAGAAAATTCAAGAGCGATGATTTAGTATGACTTTCGAAGTGGTTTAACACAAAACAGTGTGTTGACCGGATGACTTCTGCATTTGATGATGAAGCGCCATCCAAAACCACAATTTATCGCTGGTTTGCTGAATTTCAATGTGGACGTGTCAAGCTCAGTGATGATCCCCGTCAAGGTCGTCCAAAAACTGCAGTCACCCAAGAAAACATAGATGCTGTGCGTAAGCTGATTGAGGAAGATCAACATGTGACATACCGTGAAATTCAGGCAACTTTAGACATTGGCATGAGTCAAATACAAATAATCTTGCATGAACAATTAGGTGTAAAAAAGTTGTTTTCCCGATGGATACCGCATTCGCTCTGTGAAGAGCAAAAAGCGGCTCGCGTTATTTGGTGCGTCAGAACTCTCGAAAGATTCCACACAGGATCCTCAAATGCTGTATACAACATCATATCAGGTGACGAATCCCGGATATACGCGTACGAAACCGAAACAAAAAACCAGTCACGAGCTTGGGTGTTCGAAAATGAGTTAAAACCAACAAAAATTGTTCGTTCACGGAATGTTGCAAAAAAAATGGTGGCCACATTTGTCTCCAAAACCGGCCATGTTACGACTATTCCTCTTGAGGGACAAAGAACGGTTAATGCAGAATAGTATGCTAACATTTGTTTGCCACAGGTCGTTTCTGAACTCCGTAAAGAGAACTGCAACCGCCGCATCATCCTCCATCACGACAATGCGAGTTGCTCACACTGCACACAGAACAAAAGAGTTTTTAGAGCAAGAAAACATAGAATTATTAGAACAACCGTCGTACAGCCCCGACCTAAGCCCTAATGATTTCTATACTTTCCCTAAAATAAAGAATAAATTGCGTGGACAGAGATTTTCATCACCTGAAGAAGCTGTGGACGCCTACAAAATGGCCATTTTGGAGACCCCAACTTCCTAATGGAATGGTTGCTTCAATGATTGGTTCCATCATATGGAAAAATGTGTCAAATTTCGCGGAGAATACTTCGAAAAGCAATAAATACATTTTTAAATCGTAATGTTGTGTCACTTCCTTGATTCCCGAAATTTTCAGTGCCGCCCTCGTAAGTATCCCAATAACTTAAAAACCTTTTGCAAATAAAACAATGAGTAAAGTTACTGTTTGTATGTTACACAGCCAGGCCCAGGCTGGTGCAACTTCCATAGTAAAAATTATATGTACTACAGGGGTCAAATTTTAATGATGGTTACTCTTCTTTATGCTTTTCGTGATATGTCTATTAACGACATTGTCAAATGAAATAGGTTCAAATGTCAAATCAAACAATTATATTTGTATATATTTTATTAATTAAGATTGCTTTTAATTTTGCTAAGGAGCCATTGTTCATTTACAGAATTTTCAAGAAATTAAATATGCATTATAAAACTTTCCAATTAAATGGTACAAGAAGCGGAAAAAATGATAACAAGAAAAGGCTATTCGTAACAATATTTCCCTTAGATGATGAAAGGTATGTGGTGATTTAAACTTTAATAGTAATATGATATTCAACGCGAGTATATTTTTGGACTAGCCATCTATGTAGGACATGTTTTTATAGTGTACGATTGTGTGCGCAAATACAAACACACTATTTCCTAAATCTGATAGTTCGATGGTTTGGCAATCCGAAACGAACTATACTTAGAAACTACAAGTAAATTCTGACTGCTAACATTCTATTTGTTCAATAATAATGTGATTTTATTTATATTATTTTTTCAGATGCAAGCAATGGGTGAAATAGCTGGCACATGCACCAATTGAAAAGATTCACATGTCAAGACATATTTGTGACAAACATTGCATCTGAACCCAACTAAAACGAACTGTTATTTCTTTAGTGGACTTACTTTAAACTTCGACAATTTATGTGTATGTTAATTAGGTTTCATTTACATGTCGCAAAAGATAATATCCCTCTAAAGTCACATTTTGGCAAGAATTAGATTATATAACTAAATCATTATTTTATTCATCAATAAACATTAGCTATAATGAGCACTTATTTTGAAAGCGACAATTAATAAACGAGCTCTGCGAATAGTATGTACATAGGTGCCTGTGAAGAAGCCTAGCGATTTGTACATAGTATTTGTTATACATAAAAGCAATTTAATCCAATCAGTATTAAAAACCCAATATTTTTACCCTTAAAAAAACTAACGTTGAAAACAAGCATCCAGACGCAGACTATTTATTTTACAGCATAGCAACAATTATTCAGTGCGGGAAGGAAGCCTCGGTCCTGCAATGCCGCAGCCAAACGCTTAGCCACTGCGCTACGGAGTCGTCATTTATTTTTTACATAATTAATTACTAGTATAAAAGTGCGTTTTTTATTTTATATTTTTTTATACATACTTTTGTACCTAATTGTAGAGATATAAATACAAATTGCTGTGTGTAAAATACATTGATTTGTTATCCTCATCGGCATTTTTACTCAATCCACACGTTAAAAATTTTATTTCTCATATATAATTCAGTATAGAGATCTAACTTTTCTTATGTAAAAATATCGATAAACAATATATCGATAAAGGTTATATCGATAAAATCATTCGAGGATAGACATTTACAGCACTATTGTAATTCGTCAATATTGTCAGCACTGTTTCTCAAAACTAAATGTCATATCTTGATGTTGGTAGAGTAACTTGGCGTAATTTCATGCAATTATTTTTACTATGGAAGTCCCGCCTCTTAAACGTAGTGATTATATTCTCTTTGGCCAGGCCTACATAAAATAGTATTATTTTTATTATTTACTTGTTACAGATATGACATATTTTCAAATACATTTAAAAATGTCATTATAATAAACCAGCAAGTGTTGAAATTTTAACTTTTGCTAAAGAATGTAAACTTTTGATACATATCTATAAATATAACAAAATCATAGAAGTATATATATTTGAAGAGTTATTATGATATTAAAGAATTCATGAATGACTAGCTTTTACCCACAATTGTTTGCATAGGACTTTTAAAAAAACCTGCAGATACATAATAGTGGTATTTGGGCAAGTAATTCAACTATAAAAAATCACTTTAAACTAATTTTTTCTCTTCTTCAGACTTGAATGTAAAAAACCTCCTTAGCTTAATAGAAACTAGTAATTTAGATATTAGACAAACACTTCAATTTTATTTATGAATAATAAAAATGATAATAGTATAGGGCGGCCCCCCACTAAATGGTATGAAGAACTGGACATGCAGGAAGTCAATGGATGCAGGTAGCTCAGAACTGTGCTTTGTGGCATTCCTTGGGGGAGGGCTTTGTTCAGCAGTGGACTTGTGAATGACTGTAACGATGATGATAGATAATAACCCCTGAAAATGGGGTGATCGCTACCTAGCTATTTCTAATATGAATTGTAAAGTTAATGATTATTATGAATTACTATGTGTAACATCATAGTAATTTACTCTTTTTTTAAAGTCCTACTTGGTGTCTTGCTGGATCTTTCCGGAACAGAGGTGTTTTCCAAACTAGTGTTAAATTAAACATTGAATGACATAAGTATTAATAATAATCTTTATAAAAAAAATATATATATATATATATATATATATATATATATATATATAATATATATATATATATATATATCTGTTTCTAAGTTTTCAAGGATAACAACATATAACATATGGATAAACTACTATATTATAACATTTAAACTTTAATATGTATCTTACTTTCACTTTTAAATATTGAATCAGTGCAAGGACAACAGGGTTAAGCCAATGTTATTTATAGCAAATTTTATTTTGTTCTTTGAACAAATTATTGAATAACACCAAGGATAAGAGCATTAAATATATCTTAATTTCATCTTATCCTTGGTATTTAGTGATTATTACATTAATGTAAAGTTACAATCATTATGAGCTCAAATGTTGAAAAATGTCATTTGGTAATGTTTTTACAAATTTGGTACTGTTCATGAAGTGTATTAATTAAGCACATACCTTCATAAAATTTGTTAAATTCTTCTAAACCCATTTCTGCAATTCTTTCCTGTTTCCATTTTTCTAGAGCGGCTCGTGATTCATCAGTCATGGTTTTGTTCAAGATTAATGTGACAGATGGATATTGCTTGGCAAAATCATTTTGGTGTTGTTTGATCTGCAGAATCTTGTCTTCACTTGCATAACCTGGTTCTGCAGGGGAGCTTCTAGCAGCATTACTCACAGCAATTGTTTTAATTCCCCTTACAGTGTTATTGTTTAGTAATACTGCAGCATAGTTAAAACAAATCTTTGACTTCTGCCACATCCTAATTTTTAAAATGTCTATTGATCTATTGCTAGTTAAAAGACACAGCTTCTGAAGCGGATTTCCTGAAGCACTGAATTTCTGCGTATTTTCACTAGATACTGTCGTTTCGTTGTTTTGATGCGACGTCTTGCTATTTTTAGCTGTAACAAACAGATAAAATATATCACAAAGAATGTCTAATAAACGAGTGTCGATTGCGACTTCCACGAGGCGCCAGTGCAGTGTTAAGTCATATGATTTTATATTAATTAGCACTTGGCACGGAATGATCGACAACATTGTATTTCAATAAACACACCCTGATCTGCAAGCAGTCACCGAAAGTCCGAAATAAACGACAAAACAAAAACAAAATAAGTACTATAAGTACCTAATATTATCATGAATCGTGAATGTGTCAAAGGTAGGAACTAGGAACAGAGAGAAAATATAACGAGACGAGGAACTACGTTTATAGAAAAGAGAATTGTGGTTAGTTTACATTTCCAAGGTTGAAGGATTTATAACGCAAAATACTAGCCAGTTTTTGGTGTACGCGTTTTCTTTGGTATTTTCTTATCCAACAATGGTCCGAAAAGTTCCTTGTTCTCCTTGTGATACAATTTTATTTTTTCCGCAGGATTCAAGATAGAACTGGGTTTAACTACTTTTGTCCGAATAAATTCCTTTATTCTAGATTGCGCATAACTTCCACGGCCTTTAACAATAACCGATCGAAACATTGCAAAAATTTTAGACTTCTAATTTGCAATGCAGATCAATTGATAGTTTTTTTTTTTACTTTTTTAAACCTCCGAAGTCATTTTCTTGGCCGAAGGTTGCCCGAAGCCCGAAGGAACGTAGAACGTAGATAAAACTAGGGATGTGAAAAAATAATTGATTTTCATTTCGATTATTTTGTCTTATTATCGATTTTGAAAAGTCGATTTTTTTGATAATAAAAATCGATTTTTAATAAATCGATTATGTAAATTACGCGTATTCATCGATTTTTGTAATTAACGTCATCTGTGCGATGGATGTAAAAACGTAAACTACAATATCATGAATAAGTCGATTAAAAGAACAACGTCATCAGTGCGACAGATGAAAAACCGTGAAAAAGTTCACTAACATCAACAAGTCGATCAAAAGAACAGTTTCACCTTTCGTATGTTTTCAACAGTTTTCTTTTTCCGCTAGGAGTAAAAGTATTCTGTGGTTTTCTTTCTTTTTTTGGAGAGTGTAAATAATTGTAAAACAATAAAAATGTCTTGTGAAACACTCATAAAGTGGCTGACGGAAGTATTTTATAAAGAAAAAATAATAGCTGCCATCACGTCAATAGGAAAAAATACTGGATTGGACTTATATATTGCGGCACCACTATCAAATCTTTCCCTAAACTAACCGCATTGGCTCTTAAACACCTCTTTGTGATGGCCGGTTCCGCACCAGCCGAAAGGTTATTTTCGAAAGCGGGAAATATTGTCAGGAAAACACGAAACTGTATTTTACAAAACAGACGAAGAAGAATGTTGGTAAAATTATTTTTTTTGAACTTTTTTACTGAAAATTCATGGCAATATTGTTTTTTTTACTGTTTTTGTTTACACAAGTTTAAAAAAGATTTGTCTTGTATTTTAGTTTTAAGATCAAAAGGTTATCGTTTCATTATTTAAACTTATAGTTTTATTTTATTTTCATTCTAATCCAATGTAAATGATACTGAACATTTCTAGCAATAATTATATTTAGATTTTTGTTTGTTCAAACTTACTTTAAAAAAAGTATCGTTTACTAAACATGTAGTTTCTTTTTATTTTGGTTAAATGACATGTATATAGTAGCAGTAATTATTTTTAGTTTTTTATTGTTTAAAGTTCTAGGTTAAAAAAAATGTTTTTTATTTTGGTTTTGAAACCAGAAGATTGTCGTTCCGATTACTTTTTTATTTTTTTGATTTTATTTGATTTTTATTCTGATAAATTGTTAATGCTATACTAATCTCGTAGTTTTATTAAAATATAGGAAAGAAGGCATTTTTTCGAATAAAAGATATTTTTCGGAAAAATCGATTATTTCTTCTAATAAAAATCGATTTTCCTAAATCGATTAATATCACAAAGCAAATAATCAATTTTATAGTAATCGATTTTTTTCACTTAATGTCACATCCGTAGATAAAACAAACTAAACAGGTAAGATCGGGTAAGATATACAAACTAATATATGCAGGTAAGCAGGTAATTATTTAACCATAGATTACTATATATATATGTATTTAAGGTGAAAGCTCCAGGGTGGCCCGCAAATTTTCATTCCAAAAAACGCAATGCAGGCCAGGGTCAGGTTGAATGTTTAATAAAATATGATTCGCGACCGTAACAAGTATATGTTTAACCTAAATAAAAACTCCCTTCTTGACTCCTTTCAATCGGGGTTCAGACTTGGTCATAGTACGGTTACAGCTTTACTTAAAATCACAGATGATATTCGCTGGCGTATGGACCAACAGCAGCTCACTATTCTTACGTTGCTGGATTTCAGTAACGCTTTTAACACCGTCGATTTTGACGTATTGTTGAGTCTGCTACGTTCTATTAACATATCTCCAGCGGCAATTGAATGGTTTCAAAACTATTTGCGTCGCCGCCGGCAGCGTGTTAGGATAGAGGGTGCCACATCTACGTGGTGTGAACTAACTGCTGGTGTACCACAGGGTGGCGTGTTGTCTCCTCTCCTTTTTTCTGTATTTATTAATTCTATTACTCCACGAATTTCTTCTCTCTACCATTTGTATGCAGATGATCTCCAAATTTACTCCCATACATCACTCCAGAATCTTACCAATGCCATAAATGACACCAATACGAATCTTGCTGCAATACTTGATTGGAGCAGGTCGTTCGGGCTTAATTTAAATCCCAAAAAGACCCAAGCCATTATTGTTGGAAATAGCACTCTAATCTCGAGAATTTGTTGCGATAACCTTCCACGTATTGTTGTTGATGGTGTTGTGATACCTTTTAGTAAATCTGTAAATGACCTAGGATTACATATTGATCAGAATCTTTCTTGGTCCCTGCATATTAAGGAGTCCGGCAGAAAGATGTTTGCGGCAGCATCTTATTTAAGACGTTTGCGTAACTCTCTTCCCATTCCTACTAGAATTTTACTGGCACAGTCCTTGTTACTCCCTATCCTTGATTATGCTGATGCATGCTACTCCAATCTTACTGAGGATCAATTAAATAAACTTGAGCGTATGCAGAATTTCGCTATTAGGTTCATATTTGGCCTTCGAAAATATGATCATGTTTCAGAGTATCGTATTAAGCTCAAGTGGCTCCCTATCAGGCTTTGTCGGAATACTCATATTCTATCTCTACTGTACTGTGTACTATTTGATCCTAAAACACCGAGTTATCTTAAAGAAAAATTTGAGTTCATGGGCGCAGATAAAGATCATTCCAGAATAGCTGATAAACTTATACTGCGTATGCCTGCTCACAACTCAAAATTTTTTCATTCCTCCTTTTGTGTCAAAGCAATCAAATTATGGACCTCGCTTCCTTTAACAATTAAAAAAGCCCAAAGCATTGAGTCTTTCAAAAATGTGGTTAAAGATTATTATTTAAATATGTGTTCTACTTAATATATTTTATTGTCATATCTACTTTTCTTGATAAGGTTTATGTATATGATATATAGTTATAATGTATTATAGAAATATTTATAAAAGTGTATGTATTCTATGTATGTATATGTCGGTATATGTGTATATGCATGTGTGTATGTATATATGTGTTTATGTGTATATGTATATATAATATTATTTATTTGATTATTGCATTTTCTTATATATTGTATATACCATGTACTTTTAATATATGCTTGTTTATCTACTATTTATGCACACTTCTATATATTTAAATGAAAATTATCTCCTTCACCAAGGTTTGCCTGGAAGAGATCGCTGTTTAGCGATAAGGCCACCTAATTGTACATTCGTTTATAAATTTAAGTTTGCTGTGTTGTGTAGTGTTTTGTGTGCAATAAAGAGTATAAATAAATAAATAAATAAATGTTTATAGAATTATTATCATTAAAATCATCAATACAACCCTCTAAGTTCATATAATCCTTTTGAATGAGTTTCTCTGGAAATAGCCATACATTGGAATTATACGAACGTAGACGGTTGTATTGATGATTACAATGATTATAATTCTGTAATTACATAGTGTTATAAAAATTTGTTTGTAATGGCGCAATCTACTTCGTTCTATAGATAAAGTGATTGAACAAAAATTGATTGACTGTCAAAGTGGTACATGCGGTATGCGCTAGATGGCATAAACACCAATAATTTAATATAAATCGGTAAGTTGTGAATTCGTGGATTGTTATGAATGAATTCGATATCGACGCTTGAAAGGCAATAATTACCAAGCGATATTTTGGCCGATATTGAGTTATATACATCATTGAAACCAGCAAAAAAATTCTGCTTCGATATGTCATACAAGAGTACCGCTAGGAAGTTTTGTTGTCTCTTGGTAACTTAAAAAACCACAATTTCACAGTTTTCGGCGACCAAGCGACTAAAATTTTACTGATTTATGAATATTTTCTCTTGTTAGGTATTCAATTTTAACTTTATACTACTTTATTTACACTTAGTAATTTTTGTCTTGACTCAAATTAATGCGGTTAAAGTAATTTTTTTTCCTAGTACCTATCTAGGGTATAAGTATTACTTATGAAATTTTACCGGATTAAATTTTTTTGTCTCGTCATTTAAGACTTTTTAACACACATTAATTATGTACCTACACATTTTCATTTAGTATTTTTTTCCTAAATGCAAAAAATAAAATATTACCTAACGACAAAATAATATTTGTCGTTAGGTAATATTTTACCTGCCGTTTTATTTACTGGTTTTGTTACTTAGATAACTATTCCTGATATGAAATTTGTATAAAATCAGCTTACCCCTGTCGCATGTATTTTGCAGATTTTGCGGTTACAAAGTTTCGCTTATTCTTCACCGAACTGTCGCATAGGCAACCAAATATTTATTCTGTGACTATAGCTCTAAATTGTTAGGACTTGGTCTTAATTGTGTTGTTTAATTGATAGTTTACTAAAATATTTTCACTCATGTTGTTATGATTATGAAACGTTTTTCTAATTTTAGAATATTTTAAAAACTTGATAGCAATTTCCTTCTTAGTCGAAATTGTGTTTTACCTACCTATACTGATTTCGTAATTACTTGTTATAGTAATAATATTAGTATAATAGTAATTATTTTGGTTTATATTTATTTAATGTTGATTTACGATATTTTAAATATATTCAACGACAGCCCACATTATTAATAAGATCAGCTATCAACTTTGCGAGAGATCTGTCTCCAATATTGGTATGCTAGAGGTATAATATAATATAGATGTCTTCTGTTACGTGGTAGAGCCAAACTGCAGCTATATTTATAGTACAGTTGTAGCACGAATGGGTCGGCTCGACCGGGGAAGGACCACGCTCTCACGGGATACCAGCGTAAAATAGCAGCTTAATGCTACTGTGTTTCGTATGGTGAGTGTAGAGAACCGGATACCCTTTTTACTGGAAAAGGCATTCAATCTTAGTCCTCAAGGCTGACAACGCATCTGCATTTGGATTCGCAAACCAGGATAGATGTAGATGTCTATGGGCTTCAGCAACCACTTACCATCAGGTGGACTGTGTGCTCGTTTGTCACCCTATAAAAAAACGTCATTAACAGAGGGTTAGTCTTAGTGGATTATGCTCTAATTCATCTCTCATCAGATGGAGGCCAATACTCAGTAGTGGGTGATTGTAGATTACTACAAGGGCTGTAATAATAATGATGATGACGATCTCCGTCGAAAACCTTTGCCCGAAAGTCCTTGATTTTTTGTACTTAAACCTTAATTCATTGTCACTGGTTCAAAAAAATCCTACACTAACCTTATTTCATTTTTTTATAGAAGAGGGGGCAAGCTAGCCGAGCGATTTTTCCGGACCGTATTCA